ATACTATATATATATATATATATATATATATAATTAGATTATATATATATATATATATACAGAAGGCTGTATAACACACCACACACACACACACACACACAACACCACACACACACACACACACAAACAACACACACACACACACACACACACACACCACACCAATAATGTCAAGGCCTACATACAAAAAGTGCATTAAAAAACAATAACATGAACGCCCTACAAACAGTGGCGCAAGCAGAGGAGCGGCAGCAGCGGAGACCGTAGTTACGGTAATGTGTGAGACGATTGTAAGATGATGGTCTTGAGACACACATACACAGCCTCGCTCCTGTGCCAGGTAAGTCCACTACGGGCTCACCATAGCCCGTGCTACTTGCCCCGCTCCTGTGCCAGGTAAGTCCACTACGGGCTCACCATAGCCCATGCTACTTGCCCCGCTCCTGTGCCAGGTAAGTCCACTACGGGGTCACCATAGCCCGTGCTACTTGCCCCGCTCCTGTGCCAGGTAAGTCCACTACGGGCTCACCATAGCCCGTGCTACTTGCCCCACTCCTGTACCAGGTAAGTCCACTACGGGCTCACCATAGCCCGTGCTACTTGGAACTTTTGTTCCGAGTAGCTGAATCTAAAACAACAAAGGTCTTGAGGAGCCAAAGTTCTTGGGGCCGTCTTGAGCGAGAGAGGGCGGCTGGTCCAACTATGGTAGTTACTGACACAGCGTGTGGAAGGCTGTTTCAGACACTGTTTTGTTGTTTAAGATTCAGCTACTGGGAAGAAAAAATTCCAAGTAGCACGGCCTATGGTGAGCCCGTAACTTACCTGGCACAGGGGCTCTTCAGGCACTGACAGTGTCGTGCTTAACGGGTGGAAGAGGTCGTGGGAGGGTAGATGGGATGGTTGATGGTGCTGAAAGGAGGGTAAAAGAGGGGAGTGAAAGGGGAGGGGGGTAGTAGGGTGAGATGGGGGGGGGGGGGGGGTGTTAAAGGAAGGGGGAGGGAGAATTGAAGTCAAATCATTTCTATTTTATTTGTGCTCAATCTGGCTAACTCACAATATCCGGAGGATTATGTAAGTATTTCTAGGAATGTGGTGTATAGATTCCCGGGAATGAAGTATATGGATTCCTGGGAATGAAGTATATGGATTCCTGGGAATGAAGTATATGGATTCCTGGGAATGTGGTGTATAGATTTCTGAGTATAGTCTGAATTTCCAAGATGATGGTGACTTTTAAACAAGGTAGTGTGCTGACTTGTCTAGCAGGTTATGGAGGTGTGTGTACTCACCCAGTTGTGCTTGCGAGGGTTGAGCTCTGGCTCTTTGGTCCCGCCTCTCTAACTGTCAATCACCATGGTGTACAGGTTCCTGAGCTTACTTGTGTGTGTGTGTGTGTGTGTGTGTGTGTGTGTGTGTGTGTGTGTGTGTGTGGTGGGTGCTACTTGTGTGAGAGAGAGAGAGATACAGTAGAGAGAGAGAGAGAGAGAGAGAGAGAGAGAAAGAGAGGAGAGAGAGAGAGAGAGAGAGAGAGAGAGAGAGAGAGGAGAGAGAGAAGGATGAGAGAGAGAGAGAGACGAGAGAGAGAGAGAGGAGCCAGCGAGAGAGAGAGAGAGAGAGAGACGGGAGTAAGGGTATTGATCTGTAGTTGGTAACGGTCACATGCTAATCCAGCCCTGACGACCCCTACGCACGCTAACGCACCAGCTAACTACCACTAACTACCACCTACTACTACTACTACTACTACTACTACTACTACTCCACCTCATTCTACCACTACTACCCCCCTCCTCCCCCCCCCTTCCACCCAGGCTTCGCCAAGTCTACCAAACTACCAGCATACTCGTTTATACCCGACTCTACCATGTTTCCTACTGCCACTACTACTAACTACTTCTACTTCTACAACTACTACTTTTGCTGCAGCTGTTACCTTTACTGTTTAATAACACAGATAAATAATCAAATCATTATTACCATTGGTAATTGTGTTATCACCTGTTTTGTATCTGGTATTGAAGATAAAGTAGGTTATGGTTTTGTTTAAGATACAACTAGCCAATTGGGTAGTTTGTGCCCTCCGACTGGTAGTTAAATCATAACAAGCGTAGAGAGCTATTGAGCAGTTAACTTGTTTAACAAGCGTTTTTTTTTTTTTGTTAGTCAAGAATTTGCTGTCATTAACTGCTAAATGACCCGAATTGCTTGTTTGGTGCGACTTCTCGATGATCGTGTCATTTAGGTGCGACCTTTTTTTTTATGATGGTGTCATGAACTACTCAATTGGCTTGTTTGGTCTGAATGTTCTGGTTTATTGCTGTCAAAGACCGTCTTAATGACCCTTTGGCGCTTGTTCGGTCAGACGTTATAGCAGTCATTTATGGCGGTAAAGAATATCTGGTGAGAGGCAACGACCTCCATTACCAGTTAACGACACCATCAGCTTGTTCCGGCCAGCCAGTTCTCCTGATAGGTTGCTGACGACAGCTAAACAGTCACTGGAACCAGCCGCCTCCGCCAATAGCAGACGATGATGCTAAGTTCACCATCAGTTCACCGACTAAGGCAGCCTCTGGGATCCTCTTGAACGTAAGTTCGAACCTACATCACGGCCCTTGTGGATTTGTTCATGGGAGCTGGTCAGCCGAGCGGACAGCACACTGGACTTGTGATCCTGTGGTCCTGGGTTCGATCCCAGGCGCCGGTGAGAAACAATGGGCAGAGTTTCTTTCACCCTATGCCCATGTTACCTAGCAGTAAAATAGGTACCTGGGTGTTAGTCAGCTGTCACGGGCTGCTTCCTGGGGGTGGAGGCCTGGTCGAGGACCGGGCCGCGGGGACACTAAAAAGCCCCGAAATCATCTCAAGATAACCTCAATATAACGGCCCTTGTGGATTTGTTTATGGTGTTCAATTGTCTTGTTGGGAGTGATCTAACGATAGCTAACAGCCAGTGTGGTAGTTAAGAGGTGTCAGCCTTAATATAAGACGGCGGTGAGGTCTTGTCTGGTCCGAGTTGACGAGTGACTGACAGCCAGTGGAACCACCTTCAACAGTAGTTGCCTCGTTGGCTTGCGTAGTTCGGTCCGGCTTGCCGTGTCTTCATGGTCATTTGCGTTCTCTAACTACTGCTTTTGTGGCGCCGCATCAAGCCTTCACAGCCAGTTGATGAAACGGTCTTTCGCGGCCGCTAACAGGCAATTTCGCGGTCCGTGGTCATATTGTAGTGCGGAGTGGCGTAGTTTGGCTCGATTGGATGGTTGTCTGTGGTGGTGGTGGTTGTGGGTGGTGGTGGTGGTGGTGGTGGTGGTGGTGGTGGTGGTGGATTTGCTGTGACGTTTCTCTTAAGTCTGGCGGCTGTGCTAATGGTGGTTGAGATGGCGATTTCTATTAACGACCGTGAATGGTTGGTAGTTTGGCTGTGTGGAATACGATGGTTAGGGGGGGGGGGGGTTCTGTGTAACGGTGATAGTTGTTTAAGTGTTTGCTGTGTAATGA